CCCTACACACACAACAGGTTTGAAGGAAATACATCCTCACTATCATGTTGTGTGAATGGAGGTGAAGGTGGGAGCACGTCAATGATCGTGCCAGTGTGGATTTCATCATCTAATTCTGAAACTCTGGTGTATGCTCTTTGGACACCCAAAGCAGTCACACCTTCGTAGAACAGGAGGTTTGTGAGAAGCTCCAAACAGAGATGGAGCCGGTAAAACTAAAAGTATCGACTATGATGGGAAAAGACTCAATTGTAAAGAGTCAGAGAGTTTGTGGACTCAAAGTCAGAGCGTTCACCTCAAATACATCCATTGATCTGCCTCCAGCTTATACAAGGGATTCCATTCCACTTGAACGTGCACACATTCCAACCTACAAGACAGCCATCAAATGGAAACACCTTGCAGATATAGCTCAAGAGATGCCTCCACTTATAGATTGCGGTGTTGGATTACTGATTGGCTATGACTGCTCCATAGCACTGGCCCCAAGTAAAATCATCACTGGTGGCGATTACGAGCGCTATGCCATTAAGACTGACCTTGGATGGAGCATCGTAAGAAGTGCATCGCAGCGTGTGAATTCTCAAGATGTGACTGGACTTTGTCAGGGAGGTGCCACCTGTAACGCCATCAGCGGTTATCAAGGTGCTGGAGTCCGATTTCGCGGACACCAGGCCAGGGGAAAAGGCATATCTCAAGGTGATATTCGCTTTCTGCAGATCTTAAAGGAAGGAATCCAGCAAAACGAACTGGGTCATCTAGAAATGCCTCCTACATTCAAAGCACGACCTCTTCTCCCAGACAACAAAAGGCTGGCTTTGATTCGACCAAAGCACCTTAAAAGGGAACTGGAAAGAGATCCTAAATTCAAGGCTGACTATGTGAAGTTTATGGATGGCGTCTTCAAAGATGGCGACGCAGAGAAAGCAGAAACACAACCAGAACCAGGACCGGATCTTGCAAATGGCCTTCTAGCTCCATTCATCCTTGAAGGAAAGAGGGTTCTGCGAGAGATGTGTGGAATCGGATAGGATGATCCACTGCCAAGCGCACTGAAGCTAAAGTGGGAGAGATGAATGATCTGGAAAATCTTGAGAAGATTCAGATCCCAGGACCTGACCTGCTGCCACCGAGCTGGAAGTTCCAGAGCTAGCTGAAGCTAAGCTAACATGCTCCCCATCTGCACGCTGCCGTCGCATTTTACGTTTCTAAGGTAAGCGGACATGAAACTATTCAGCAAAACTATAAATAATAATCTAAGTTATTGAGTTTTTAGCATAATACTTCAGAATCTTAAAACCCCTTAACGTTTGTATGCAATTGTACTAAATTCAACACTGGAATCAAGAAAATATTAATATGTTTGCATGACATTAGTTATTTATATTTTGATATCACTTAACTATACGTTTAATACATTTAAGTCAAGCTAAGGTACATGTGATGGTAGCTAGTTAGCGCTCTTACCTGTGAGGCCTCCTCCAAACAGCACAATAACCAGACTGTATCATTAAAACTAAGTACCAGTTATAGATCCTTGACTTTAGACAAACAATTCAAAAGACAAAATGTATTTAAAGACCAATCTTTATTTGAATGTGCCTCTTAACCTGAGATATTAGTTATACAGTAATAGTATTGACAATCTAAAAAAACTGAGCAACTCAACAGTCAACTTTATGTTTCTTATTGTCTAAAGCATTTATTATTTTCATTTGTCCCCTCTCATATTCAGTGTGGACGGATTGAGACAGTTGGTGTCCAGAGAGCTGCAGAGACTTCAGGGAGAAACCTCCGTGTGATGGACGTCCAGTCTGTTGGTTTGGAGAGGACAGAGGGTCTTTCCTCTGCGAAGAGGACTGAGGGTCTTTCCTCTGCGAGGAGGACCAGGCCTGATGGAGGAGCCCATGCTGGGCAAAGCTGATTCCAACTGCACAGGCCTAGTCTGTCACTTTATTTGACTAAATGTGTTTACTTATACATTTAATAGGTTTACACCTTCTGTCCATATGTGCTTTTTATTTAAAACATTTGATTAACTTTTGGTTCACATTTCAATAAATTGTATTTGTATTTGCTCTCCTTTTGTCCATTATTCTTACTGAAAATGTTAGATTACACATTCACATCTGACTGAAGATTGGCCCCATTTATTTATGACGTTGCAAAACAAGGTACATGTTGTGAAGCTCATAAAGTGAGGCAAATAGAAATAATCAGCTGATGGAGTGTAGATGTGGAAATTGCTGCATTCGATCAGCTGACTGTTTTTACAATAAAAGTAGTTTCTTAGTGAATGTCCTGTACTGGTCTTAAAATCTCATAACATCAGCTTTTAATGTTCCTCTTGGATGTTCTTCTTGACCCTCAGAGAAGGAGAAAATGTTGTGTCTTTCAGGCATGTCCTTTCCTAACAAAAATGACAGGAAACATAAAACATATTATTGCAGAACAAGTGTGTTATTTATGAAAGCAGTGTGTTTGTGTGTTTAGGGGCTGTAGATATAATTATTTTGTAATTGTAATGTTTGTTTGTTTTTTCAACAATGAGCTACAAAGACAATCAGATTATGAATGAACAGTATGAAGTTCATCAACATTGAAATATTATTATTATCAAAATAATATTTAACTGTTATCAAAACGTAGTGCAGCTGTAGAAGCTTGCTCTGTTGTCTCACTGAAAGAATAACTTTTACCACGTTTTTTACAGACAATATTGAGAGATAAATAGTAGCAGTTCTCACTATGTGTTAAATATCTTTGCCTTCAATACATTAAATTAGAAAGCTGACAAAGTCATATTGCTAGATATCTAAATTTAACTTTTTGCACGGAAAAAACCCTCAACTTAACTGATGTGTAGGTGATCTAGTATTTAGTATTGTTTAATGGAATGTATATCAGTGTATTCAAGTCAATACTTCATTCATTTAAACCAATATCTTTCTTGATTCGTTGTACTGTATGAAAAAAGAGTATCTGTACCTGTGCTGAAGTTCACTGCTGTGAGGAGTCCAGTTCTGTCTCTCACTCTCTGCTCCAGCCTGTCTGCATCACCTGGACACCTTAAACAAACAGATATATATATATATGTAAAGTACCATGTGTACAAACAATATAACTGATTCTCTTCTGTTGAACATGTTGGATTGTGTATTGTCCGAGTCAGGGGCCTTTTTATTTTACTGTAACTTTGGAAGTTGTCTTACCAATGCTTACTGTTTATTTGATACCCATTTGGTAATGCAATTAATAAAAACAACAAGGTTTGGGTTCGTTCTTCAGATGACTGTGACGTTAACGTGTAAGCTCGATAATGAACTCCAGCTCAACCAACCATATTGTAATATCTAAGTAATCATCTTGAAATATGACATTAATAATGTAATATACACACATCTTATTGTGAGGTTGATTTCACATACACTACTTCGACATTAGCTTGTCTACATACTTGAGCATAGCCAATTTAAATTAACCTTAGATGCATACAGTTCTACCTACATAATAAAATATCTCTAAGTTACAAGGATGTAACCTTATTTTATCAACCTCAAACAGAAGCCGTTTGTTCAACAGTATTATCCCACTTAACACTTGTCTATTTCGTTTGAACCTTTATATATACAGTCTATAATTTTAACTTGGAGGCTACGATTACAATCGTAAGCACCGATGTAGCTACCACTAGCTTACATGCTAACCCAAGCCTTATCATTCATTACGTAGCTGATTAAAATCATTAACACATAAATAAAGCACTCAAATTTCACTTACCGCATTCATGCACCGTCTGTTTTAACCGCAGAGCGAGTCACAATAGTCACAAACAACCACGGCCGGCTAAAAGTTGTGTTTCCTGAGCTGAGCAGGCAGAGTCCCTGTAGCTAGCTTCACGGAGCAGCTAGCAGAGAGACAAGAAGCTAACAGCGGCAGGCACTTGACAGAGCCGTCACTCAATGTGACCACGCCCTAATTTATGCACAAACTTTAAGACCTAATATTCTTTCACACACACATACGGGTTTTGGGCCGAGGGCGACACCGTACTTCCGGTATCCACCATTTCACACGAGGTGCAAGCAGAATATCATAGTCTATTGCCTTAATCAATATCTAGTCAACTCTAAAATACCACATATATCCATTGGCATGATAATATTATTGTGACAAGTGGGGTATTCACCTGGTGTTTCCAGAAGATAGACGTAGATGCTGCCAAAATCAACCGAAGGCCACTTTCGAGAGTCGTTTTTCCATACATCTGCAGGCAGTCTAGTCTGTAAGGGCAATCGGACAACCCACACAGCTCTAGTTTACGCTGGTAACGACCTGGAGCACACCCCTCAAGTCCAGAGATGTAATCCGAAGACATGCAGCGATTTCTTCGGTCGTTAATTCAGAAAAAAAACCTAGTGCGCTCTGCCTGGATACATTACCTAGCTGTTTATATTAGCACCTCCAGGATATTAGCACCTCCAGGAAAATGGCGTATTTCTATATAGATATATGGCACGCGTTGCATTGTGGGTAGCTCGTGACGTCACTGTGTGTGAAAGAATAAATAAAAGGGTCGCGTTAGAAAACAATTCACTCACAGATCCATAATCATGAAGGTGGAATCTAACTATATCGATAATACAAATGTATGGAGCCAGGGGTAGAAACATGTTTTTTTCTGCTGTAAAGTTGGGCATTTTAACATGTTGAGAAGGGTGCTATGTAAATATAGTTGTACTTACTTACTTACAATTCAGTGTTTGATTTTTCTATATCAATGTTAAACTATATTACTACAAATCAATTATATTATGTCTTCATAATAAGTTATGTTAATGAGTTTATTATGAGAACTTGTGCCTATACATTTCAGTTTCTTCTCATTCATTTACAACTTTTCTGGTAATTTAGCCCATCTCCACTTGCTTTACTTGAACTTCTTTTACCCTATAATATCCCCTTTGGCAAGGGCTTATCCTGTCTTTTTTTTATTGCAGATTTGATACAAATCAGCGATGGATAAAACAGGATTGGTGATTTTGCTGCTTCTTGGTTAGTAAATCCTTCAAACGTAAAGATTTGCATTCACTCAATTAACATGAGTAAATATGTTTTAGACTTAGCAAGAGGTTCCGCAGCATTAAGAGCAGAACAGTCAGATTCTGTAATAGCTTTTTCCCCCAAGCCATCAGACTGCTGAACATCAAGTAGACCAGTAACATATAGATTACATTACGCTGTGTAAAGCGCACATATTTTCTATAGTATGTCTATTTTATTTATATGTATAGTAAGTCTTTATATTTTAAACGCACACTTTATCTTTAATTTTATCAGCACCACGTCACTTTAAAGTATTTATTTATATGTACAATTTTAGCAAGTTTTTATATTGTCCTGTTCCTGTAAGCCAGTACAACGGAATTTCGTTGTAATAGTACACTCTGTGTCTTGTTGAAATGACAATAAAGTATGTCTAAGTCTAAGTGGATAAGACAGGATTGGTGATTTTGCTGCTTCTTGGTTAGTAAATCATTCAAACGTAAAGATTTGCATTGAGTAAATATGTGTTATAACAGTCATTGTACTAATTTCCTTTCAGCACTATCTACGCTGTCTTGGAGTGTTACGAGAAAATACACGTATTTTATGATGCAGAAAAACTGGCAGGAAGCTCAGAGTTACTGTAGGGAGAATTCTGGTGACCTGGCGACCTTTGAGTCTGAAGAGGAATGGGAAAGAGGGAAACAAGTATTTGAAATCACTCCAGGAGCATATGTATGGATAGGAATGTATTCTGACAATAGAGCCTGGAAGTGGTCCATTGACAACACATCTCTCTACGGGGAAGATGGCAACACTCAATTGGGAGTATGGTTTGATTTAGAAATAAAAAATCACATTGGCAAACAGATCTGTGTGGAAATAACCTCGGGCACCCTGCATATCCAGCCATGTGGTGAATTACTGCGCTCAGTGTGCTATGATGGTGAGTGTGCATGCTTTGAAATCATATTTGGTTTCTGAACTATTTAGAAACCAAATCATTAATGGTTGTGAGCAGGACCTGTGAACTCATACTTGTTGTTTCTTGTCATTGTAAAAGTTATTTCTTTTTTTGGTTGTTTTGTACAATTTTTTTTATTTGTTTAAAATGACGATTATCTAATCTTTTATTTTCAAGAAAAAGGTACACTAGAGGGGGACCAGAAAAGTTTTTTAAGATTCTTATTGCCCCTGTTGAACATGACAGAGACTATTTGAGAATGTATTTATGTTCATTTATTTTGTACCTTAAATTTTTTTTTTTTTTTTTGCATCTCTTTGTTAGAATTATTATTATTATTATAAAATGTTTCTGACATGTTCAATAAATTGACTTGTATAATATATTTCTAGTTGAGAATGTAAAGAACTGATGTTTGATTTCAGAGCCCAACAATACGTACATCCCAGTTACGGTTCCTATGACCTGGTCGTCAGCCCAGAGTTACTGCAGGGAGAAATACACGGACTTGACCAGCATGAAAACCCAGCAAGAGAAGGAGGAGATCCTGAAGGTGACGAATGAGTCCACCTGGTGGATCGGTTTGTCGGCACATCTCTGGAATTGGTCCGACCGGAGTAACGTTTCGATCATGAAATGGTTCGGTACTGAGCCTAATGGTGGTGATTCTCAACACTATTCTCAGATAGGTTGGGCTGATGCTTACTGTTCGGACAAAATGGGATTCATCTGTTCAGGTGAGCATTCAAATTTCAATCCAGCAAAAATAAATGTATTTCAAATGTAATCAAGGATGTATTTTTGTCAAAGCTTCACAAATGTTATCCCTATTCTGCAGTTACTGTGATAAAGCTGTTGAAGGTTGAACTGCAGTTTGAAGCATCCTTGGACCTGACTGATCCTTCAGTTCAGGAAGATGTTCGGAACGAAGTCAGTCTCAAAATCAATGCAGCAAAACTGTATATTGTGTTATTTTTATTACAAGCATTCTTCTTTCTTGTTGAATCCTGTTACCTAGACTACCCACAATGCAACCGCGTGAGTGAATCCTCAACACTTAAGTTTCTTCATGGCCGTATCCAAACTTTTATTGATATGAAGGTCATAAATGTTAAAGGTGGGGTAGGTAAGTTTGAGAAACCGGCTCGAGATACACTTTTTGTTATATTCCATGGAATGCTCTTAACATCCTGATAGCAATGAATATCTTAAATGCTTTGACAAAAAATCCATAAAGATACATCATCTGTGGAAGCCGTGGCGCTGTAAAAAGCACGACCAATCATCTGAGGCGGCCCGGCTAAAGTAACTGGATGGCCTACCTGCCTGTCAGCCTTCCATCTGTGCACAAACTTATCTCGTGCCCTCATTGGTCATGTGCGCGTTCCTGTGTGTTGGAGGAGGGGCTCTGTGAGGAAGTCTGAAGGAAGGGGCAGATTTTTCATATTTTCAAATTTTAGCGCACTCGAGCTGGTTTCTCCAAAATTACCTACCCCACCTTTCAGGTCCCCCATTGAGTGGTGCAGGAATGAATCCTAAAACCCACACAAGTCAGCATCATAGTGCCACTAGTTGGCAACAGATGAATGGGTCTTTTGAGAAGATGCCTCACATAAGGTCTGAGGTTAAAGCATGCTGAAGACATTTTCACATTTTGTTCTATGACTACATAAGTAATGAATTACTCCACTCATGAAGTTTAAAGTTTCTATGCGTCATGAAAACAGTGGTTTCTGGCAAGTAAATTACACAATTCAACTAATCGGGAACATTAGCAACATTAGCTATCTTTAGCTTAGCTATGTTGACGTGACACCATGCGACCATGATGTGGTTTGTTTATAGCTTTTTACTTTTGGCGATTGCATTTACGCTTCAAAAATCATAGAAGTGGTGTTTATATGTAAAGACCATATTACCATAGAGCTTATTTACTGCGATATTGCGAAATCCAATTGTAAAATCCAATAGCTTTTTGTAAAGGGAACTTTGGAGATGCTAAATGACGGTGTCACCGTAAAAAAAATATGTAATAACCGAACCTAGGGTTGCATAAATAGGTGTGTGAGACCATTCAACTCACACCAAATGCTTCGACCATCAGTTGTGGACCAACCATACAAAATCTAATTTGGCAACATTATGAACAATTTCTACAAGAGACTGGTGTTAACCATTTGTTTTATTCTGTCTTATAGATGGAGAAACATTTGAGGGTCAATGGAATCCATGAGGAGTTCACACTGAGATGGAGGAAACATCCAACTAGAAAAGTCTCTGAAAAGAAGGGTGAACCATGACTGTGAAAATGTTCCCCAGTCTCACGGCATTTCGTGTTATAGTCACGAAATGTAATCTATTGATTCGTGAATTTTTTTTTCATTTCACACAGAACAATTTTAAAAGCAATTTAAATAATAACAATTTAGAAAGAAACAAATATTTTCAATAATACAGATTTCAGTATTCTGACACAGAACGATTTTAGAAGCAATTGGTAGTATGTTTCGTGCCTGCACCAAATAATAATAAATTAGAAGGAAAAAAATATTACAAAAATACATATTTCAGTATTCTGAGGCTCTGAGCCCCATTTATTTTCCTCGTGGACAGCAAGAAAAGTCAGACATTATGCAATTTAAAAAGTAAGGGTTAGTAAGAAAATGTTTGTATGAACCACACAGCTTCCGGTCTTCCAAGACCCGACCGGACAAAAAGACGTGTTGCAGGCACGAAACATACTACCAATAGAAATACATTGATTTTAAAATCGTTCTGTGTGACACGAAAATCAATAGATTAAATAAATTTCGTGAATATAACACGAATTGCCGTGAGACTGGGTTGAATACAACCAACATAGTCTCTGCTAAACTGTGAAGCCTTTTTATTGAACCCTCTAAGGCCCCCGGTTGTAATTTTGTGAGCTACATTTCTTTTTAGAATTTAAATCTACACAAATTATTAACTTTATGTGTGCTAAAGTGGAGCTTTAATTACTGTTTGCCAACCTTACGAACTGTTTTACAACATACATCATTGAAATGTTATATTGTATCGCTCTGAACAACAATGTATGCATAGTATGTTTTTTGTAGGTCCTAATGGGAGATTGGTACATTTGAAGAAACAAAGTAGAGATGCTAGATCACAGTCTATTACTGTGCCACCATTTAGTTCGAGGCCTAATGCCGGAAATAAACTCAGAGGTTGTTAGTCATTATAATTAGCCTTTAAATCTAATTATGTTTTCCTTTATTCTTCTTTGAATGTTAAGCTGAATGTGGAACGCACACACACATGAGAGTAAAGAGGACTACAGTTCAATCAGGAGAGACGGTTTTGATGTAATAATAAATACATATTTATTGCGCAGATGCATAAATTAATGTAATGGTGATTTTTTTTTGGCGATTAGGCCCCGTTGTGCAGGAAGTATCATTCTGGAGGGTAGAGCCGATCCGATGAAACCCCCCTGGGGTCTAGACCCTGGTGGTGGTGAATGGATAGTTGGGTCGGTCTGAAGAGGAGTGGTTTAGCTTGACCCTGGATTCAGAGGGACAGGAGGTGAAAAGCGGTGGAGGAGGGTTGCGTCGAGTCACCTGAAATGACAGCTGTCAGAGGGGGGAGAGCAGATTTAAAAGGTTTGACAGAGCGTTATGATAGGCTTGTGAGAATAGAGCGAAGTGATTGGTTAAGCTGGGGAGTGACGCCCCCGGTCACTTATTGAGAGGAGAGAGAGTAGTGACATGGGAATAGAAATACATGAAGAGTAAAGACGGTCTTCTTGGTTGAACTTGCGCTGAGCTTTATTAAGATGTGTGAATAAGTAGCACATTTTCTTCAACATTTGAGTTTAGATTGAAGTGGTACTTAATCTGTGGCTTTTAATTGTATTTGCTGTAAAGTGTCTCTACTGTAGGCTATTTTTATTATATGTACAGCACTTTGGCTCGACCAAAAATCGTTTATAAATGTGCTATATAAATAAAACTTGATTTGATTTGATTTTAATTCTTGTTGTTCATTTTTATTTTTGGGATAATTACCTATAGATAATCAGAGATAGATATAAAACACATTAAATACATAGGTGCTAGCTGGTCTGTTCTTAGGAAGAGCAATGATTATGTTATTCTCACTTAGAAAATAATAATGATGTATTAAAGAAATACAGAACTGAACATGAATGTTAAAGTTGACAGTATGTATACTTGGTTGTGTACTAGTTTATGCTGAAAGACATGATATTGGACAGATCTGCATTATTTATTGACAAAGTCCTCTCCCGGACTAGATGTATAGCCAACCACTTGTTAAACATGCAAGTTTTAAGACATATTGATAACCTCATTCTTCGTGAACATATATAAGTCATTTACATATTCGTATATATAATTCACCACCTCCACAGGCTCCGTGTTCTTATTGACAGAATAGATTTGTCTTTGACGTGGTTTGACTTTGTGCCTGCTGCTGGAGCTAAATCCCCGAGCTCCTCTTAGTCTCCTCACGAGACAGCATCTAATGAAACATTTAAATATTTATGTGTTGAAAGTTGTTTACCTCCCTCTCTCTGGTGTACCGGGGAGTGGACGAGGGGAAAGCTGACTCTCACTCTGTTCTCTTTGAGCAATGTCCTTTCTCTCGTGTTTCCTTCGAACCTTGCAAATAAAGAATAAAGAACCTTTCACTCTTCACTTTTCAGAGTTGCTGAATTAATGAAGGTGAGAAAGGCGGTTGGTATTGTAATCTTGTGAAGGGAGGGTAGTCTGACTTTTTTTGGGGAGCATGGAAGGGACTTTTATTTGTTTTGATACTCCAGGTACATTTTATTTCTTGGAGAATTTATTTTATATAATTTGTTGGTAACACTTTATATTAAGGTACACTTATTCACCATCAACTAGTTGTTAATTAACACATTAGAGTCAAACTACTAGTTTATGTGTTATGAACAAGACTTCACTTTAAAATAGGGAATTCTGAGTTAGAAATACATTTTGACACAATTAACACTTTTGGTTTCATGTCTTGTTACATAAGAATAGACCATATTTGTTAAGTGTTAATATGGTAGAATTACTATTCTTGTGGTACTACTGCTTTAGTAGGCCCATATTGAGCAGAGCATATTAAGACCAAAACTCATGTACAACAACTTTCTTACTTTGAATAAATAAGCACTAATTAGAGGGTTATTGAGGAAAACTTCTTAACTAATGGCCTAGTACTTGTAGAATATGGTCATATAGAATAAAGCATTAATAAGTGTTTAATAATGACTAATAAACAGCCAATATACTGCTAATAATGCATGTCAATTAACAACTAGTTGATGGTGAATATGTGTACCTTAATATAAAGTGTTACCAATTTGTTTTAGAAATATGAAAAATAGCTTAGGGTTAGGGGCGTTAGGGTTAACCCCCCTAACCCTAAAGATGGTTCATACAGTACGTTTTTGCAGGCTATTTCCTGTAATTGGGAATGGGATGCAAATATTAGACAAAACTAAATTACTGCCAAGCATTTTAAATTAGTGGATTATGAAAGTTCATTTATAGCAATGAGATTCGTGAAATTACCTAACATTTTGAAGGTCTTTGCTCATCACTGGGCCATGTTTTTCTTCAGAAAAGGACTAAACTATACCACACCATAGTTCATGCAAAGAACTATGGTGGCCCCTAAGAACAAAACTCACAGAAGCAAGAGAAAACATATTAACCCTTGTGTTGTGTTCAAAAGCTGTAACCGTTCATGGTGTTGATTTATCTCAGTCCAAAACACACAAAAAAATGTGTCCACTATTGTTTTAACTACATCATAACTAACTTATCATGCATTCATATCCGTACAATCCTGTTGTAATTTAATTGTATGGCCCCAAAAAACATTACACCGCATATTTAAGTAAAACATGTGATTCAATTCACTCATTATATTTCCTATTGTGAAGACAGTGGATCATTACGTTATCTGACTTGAATAGACTAATATTAGAATACAATTTCCCCCAAAAAGGTTATAAATGATTGTTACAGTGGATGAAGGGGGCGTCTAAAGTCAAAGATGAATCTTGATTGGGCCAAATTTTACCCTGTGTCACCCAAAACAATTCTGCTGGGTCTTCCCAGACCCGAACACCAAATGATACACTTTTTTTTTTAGAGACCTTCAGACTTGGCAAAAATGGTCAAAATGAGTTTTGTAGTGTATATATAGCTGCATGTTGTAGAGGATATCATGAAGCCTGGTTCCAATAAAAAGAACTAAAGCGTAGTTATTATATCATTTTAACTTGAAACGGGTCACGGGAGACCCGAACACAACATAAGGGTAAAAAAAAGGATTACGGTAAAAAGGCAAAAAATCTCAAATCCAGAAATGAAACCGTTTTCTGCAAAACATACAGATGATGCAACAAAAGTAAGCGTCAATCGAAGTCAAAAGATATTCAAATACAAAAAACGTAAAGCAGTTAATTAAATATTAAGGAAAACAAGTAAATATTCCTGAAAAATAACACAAACAATGAAATTCCACTGAAAAACTAGCAGCTTGAGTCTGTACATTTGTAAATAAGCTTAATGTCTTTCTTTATGAGAGTTGGATGAACAGATTGACACCACTTTCAGATGTTTGCATACAGAAATGGAAACCAGACAGTTAGCTTGGCACAAGAACTGGAAGCAGGAAAACAAAGGTAGTCTGACTCTGTCCGAAGGTAATGAAAAATGCAAAGCAGCACTTCCTTGTTGCGATGGTATAGCTATATTTGTTTAATCCATACCAAATCTCTAAAAACTACAGCTGTGTTTTCCAGGATCGGCTCAGGCACCAGTGGACCTTATTCACACTCAGCTTTAAAAAATCACTGCTCATTCTCTGCTCCACTCCAAGCATTTACCTGCAGTTTCTGTTTTTTCATCCGGTGGGTTTCATGTTCTGCTTTTGCTGGCTCTAATTAAGTTTCCCCGTGAAATGAAACTGACATCAAGATAAAGTGTTATAAACCTACAAATATGTTCCTATTTGTTATTAAAGGCTGGGTTTATGAGCTGCAAAGCAAATAAAAATGTCAATCAAGACCAGAAATATATGGAACCGAGAACTATCCTTTATTAATGGAAGCTTCATCGAGGCAGAAAAGCATCTTCGTCATACACTGCAATTTACCATGGCAAACATACGCCTCTTACAGGGTAGAGTTCAAAATGTACCGCTGATTGGATTTCTGCAGGTAATGAGAGCAGCTTGTCAAGAAAGGCATGTGAAAAGCACAGATTCCTGTACACCCTCCGAACCAAAGGCAACCGCTTTCTCTATCAGGCAGAAAAAGCACTGCAACACAGATTAGATTCTCGCTGGTATCATTTATCTGTAACTACATAGAGGCAATATACATCACATATTGAGAAATGAAAAAA